GGCCCCTGTGTTGGTTTAGACGGACAGTCCAGCCGTTCCATTTCCCAGCTGTCATGGTGGGATGGAGCCGCAGGGATCACAGCGGGGCTGTCTCCCCCTCCTCAGTTAACGGAGGAGCACTCATCCCAGCCCCCAGTGCTCTCCAAGCAGGCACAATGGGTGTGGGGAGCCTGCAGCCAGACCCAGAACCAAAGAGCCTGGCATGGGAGCCGCTTTGTGAGACCCGTAGTTGGGAGAGCATCTACAGTGGGCATGGGACAGTCTGGGCTCTCCCCTGGAAGACGAGAGGAGAGCGAATGAGCCCCAGGGCCTGAGCAGAAGTAGGAGACTGCTTAAACCCATGTGTGGCATGAAAGTTGATGCAATCCTTGGGGCCAGGCAGGGTCAGCTGGCAGCCAGCAGGTCCCTGCAGTGGCTTTGCCCCCTTTGCTCTGTGCTCAGTTCCTGCAGCATCTACCTTGTCCCTGCGCAGCCCAAACTGAGGAGCAGATGAAGGAAGGACCATCGGCTGCTGGAGCTCTGCCTCACGGACACAGACCCCTCCAGCCTCCTGCAGGGTCCTGCCACCATCCTTGCTCACACCCTTCCCTCACTTCTCACCCCTTTCAGATGGCTCTCTACTTCTGCACCGGCATCATGGAGGACGAGACCCTCTTTCGCCACTACGCCCTGAACGTACCCTTCTACACACACTTCACCTCACCTATCCGCCGCTATGCAGACATCATCGTGCACCGTCTCCTCTCCGCCTCGCTCGGTGGGTGCCGCCCGCGGCGGGGCGCTGGGTTTTGCAAGGGGAGGGAGTGGCTGTGCCCAGCACAGGTGGGACTCCCGGGGTCCTGCCTTGCCTGCCATGGGTGCTGGGTGCTTGGAGTCTGCGTCCCATGGGGCAGCTCCCTGGTGCATGGGAGCCTTGAAATAACAGGGACACGGAGATGAGCTGGGCATCTGGGTCCAGGGTGCTATGTCATGGCCCTGGAGCAGAAGGGAGCATGGGGACGTCACTGTCACTTGTCTCCTTCCCAGGTGCCAGTTCCCCCATGAAGATGGAGAAGGAGGCCATCCAGAGACAGGCAGATCACTGCAACGACCGGAAGATGGCTTCCAAGAGGGTGCAGGAGCTCAGCACTGACCTCTTCTTTGCCATCTTTGTCAGGGTAAGAGCCAAGACTATCTTCCCCAGAGGCCTCTCTGGATTTCCTTATGAAGGCTCAGCCTAGATCCGCCGGACAGAGGGCTGTGTGGTGCCCAGCTGGCCTTGGGGAAGGCAAACGGTGAGGGGACACACTGAGCAACCACCACCGCCAGAGCTCCAGGACCTGGAGACACTGGTTCCCCTTGGGGATGGCTGGATGGAGGATGCTGGAGTAGTGACAGCCCTGTCTCTTGGCAGGAGTGTGGTCCTCTGGAGTCAGAGGCCATGGTGATGGGTGTCCTTAACGAGGCCTTTGATGTCCTGGTGCTGAAGTTTGGAGTCCAGAAGCGCATCTACTGCAATGTAAGTACCTCACCAGTGTGAGATAGTGCCAACGCTGCCTCACCAGAGAAGGCTGCAGCAGCCTGGCATCATTGGAGGCAGCGGCTGGCAGAGCTGCGCCCAAGCTGGGCTAGCTGGAGGGGAAGGAACTTTCAGGGGGTTTCCCCTCTGTCCCTCGGCCCCAGGCAGGCATGAGGGGCTGGGGGGGGCGGTCTGGAGCAGCCCAGTCTCTCACGATCTTCTCCCTACTGCATGCTGGGAGTGATCTAGTCTAGGTAAAAGGGAATACAGACAGATTCAAGGGGACAGAGATCAACACGGAGCTCAAGCGAGGAAAGGGAACAAGACTGGTTTTCATTTCATTTAATCAGACAGTGTATCTGGGGCTGTGACAGCACTACTGTAGGCCAGCACCTGTGGTTAGTGACAGCATCTTCTCTTAATAACCTGGTTATATGGCTGGCAATGACATCTTTAAACAGGACATATAGCATGATATGTGGGCTGTTTGTGTATCACAGCAGCCCCTGATTTACGTGCTAGACTCAGGCTCATGGGCTGCTGCATCCCAGTTGTTAACGAGCTGCAGAGGTGGCTTGCTGGGCAAAAGTGGCGTCGTCCCCATCCACAGGCAAAGTGGAAGGGGAGACCTGAGTTGAGGAGATATTGTCAGGGCCACAGGCTGTTCCCAACACTCTCCCTGCCTGCAGGCGCTGCCCTTGCTGGGCTTCCACTTCCAGAAGGTGGGGAGGAAGCCAGAGCTGATGCTCATGTGGGAGCCGGAGAACCTGGAGCAGGAATCTGTGCCCCAGGTAAGATCCTCCAGTGTGGGACGGGCTCACAACACCATGGCGCTGGCATTGAGATTGTGTGCAATATGTGGATCCCGTGATGTCTGCAGGGACAGGGCAGGGAGGCAGGACTGCCTCGCAGGCTGTCAGGTCTTGCTGTCCCTCTGTGTTCCTTCCCCAGTGAGCCCAACATCAGCCTCAACCTCCTCTGCCATCCAGCCCCGCTCCATCCCATCACTGTCCCCGTATCTGACCCCTCCATGGCCTTCAGACTCTGCCCTGCCTGCTGGGTACCCTGCCTCGTGGTTCAGTTTCGTCCAGGAATTGAATTAACATGCTGTTTACTTCCTTCTTCCAGATCATCAATTAAGATGTTAAGTAAGATCAGGCCTAAGGCAGCGCCTGTCTAGACCCTTCCTCCCATCCTGGCATTCCTTGGCCCCTCACTGGCATGGCTCTTCCTTCGGGTTTCCATCCCTGTGACAGGGTTGAGACCCAATTAGGAGGAATTTTTTAAGCCAGACTTCCTGAGATGCAGTGTCAAATGGTTTAACAGCATCTAGAAATCTCTCTCTTGTGTCCCTGTCATCTATTAACTTGGTAACTCAATCAAAGGGAGCAATCACATTTGTCTGGCTTGATTAAGTGGTGCTTCCTTGCCAACTTTTGTCTGGTATCGCTCTAAAATCACAGCTGTGTTGACTGCTGTGATCTCTGCCTGCTGCCTGGGCAGGGATGGGAGGGTGGAATCCCATCCTCTCCCTGCATTGCTCCGGGGTCTCTGTGCTTGAACCACATTTCCAACAAAGCCCAGCACAACCCATCCTTGTCCACCTAGAGCTGGATGAAAAGGGCTCCCGATACAGGGCCGGGCTGACCCTCCCAGCTGGTTTGATACACATCCTGGGGAGTCCTTTCCCTTTCCTTTCCTTTCCTTTCCTTTCCTTTCCTTTCCTTTCCTTTCCTTTCCTTTCCTTTCCTTTCCTTTCCTTTCCTTTCCTTTCCTTTCCTTTCCTTTCCTTTCCTTTCCTTTCCTTTCCTTTCCTTTCCTTTCCTTTCCTTTCCTTTCCTTTCCTTTCCTTTCCTTTCCTTTCCTTTCCTTTCCTTTCCTTTCCTTTCCTTTCCTTTCCTTTCCTTTCCTTTCCTTTCCTTTCCTTTCCTTTCCTTTCCTTTCCTTTCCTTTCCTTTCCTTTCCTTTCCTTTCCTTTCCTTTCCTTTCCTTTCCTTTCCTTTCCTTTCCTTTCCTTTCCTTTCCTTTCCTTTCCTTTCCTTTCCTTTCCTTTCCTTTCCTTTCCCCCTTCCCCTCCCCTCCCCTCCCCTTCCCTTTCCCTTTCCCTTTCCCTTTCCCTTTCCCTTTCCCTTTCCCTTTCCTTTCCTTTCCTTCTTTCCAGATGTTGTGGTCAGAGCCGGCCAAACTCCCCAGCTGCTGGAGGCGTTTCTGCAGGCCTCCCTCCCTTTGAAGCTGAGCTTTCCTTTCTGAGCTTGGCTCAGAGAAACCCCTTGGATGCGGCCTGAAGTGGCCTCGGTTCCTCCTTTCCTACAGGAGCGGGTATCACTTACACCCTAGCAGGGACCCACATGAAAAATGACGCCCCAGCATGAGCAGGGCCCATTTTGGTTAAGCAAACACTCAGCAGTAGTGGAAACTCCTCCACGAACCCTCCACACCTCCTAAAAAAACACCAGAGCCCTCCCCTGGGAGCAGGCTCTGAGCTGTTCTCTGAGCCAGCAGATCCCCGAGTTGATAAATCTCCAGC